CCCCCATCGGCGTCATGGGGGTGGGGAGTGCTGATCCCCTCCAGATAGGTGAAGTCGCTCTGGCATGTGCTCTTTTATCAATTTTTAACATTTTATAGTTGACAGCACGTAGGTCCATAATGCATTTATTGTGGGTCTGGATTTTCGCTACTTTGTGTTTGTGCATTTTACTCATCGTTTTTTACATATATTTTTATTGACCTACCGAAGATTGATAATTTGTGTCTTTTCTACAATGGGGAATCATGCCTCATTTTATGTACAACTGCTTCAGTCTTCCATGGAGCGAAATGGAGCCGCGAAAAATTGTCAGGATTTATTCAACTTTTAGTAGTACCTCACACAGTATTTCGTACTTTTTTTCGTATGCATAAGTTTGCCGTGAAAAGGACCAAATTTATACAAACACCTCTGCAACTAGTGTGAAGTGTGATGGTGTTAGAAGGAATTTGCTGTTGAAACAGAAGGATCGTCCCATTGTTACCTCTGTTCTTCAATCACCGCTACGATGTATTTTTTAATCTTTTGTGGTATGTATTGGGTCCGCGCAAAAAACCATGGGAACTGTTATGATATTCACTAACTGTGCAACTTGATTTTGGTGTTTGAACCTTGTAATCAACCTAGTCTTCTATTTTTCAGTCACTTTCAAGGTGACGGTAGTCATTCACGTCACCGTGACAATCGTAGACGTGGAGAGGATGGAGAGAGGGAAGATGAGGAAAAGGAGGGTGAGACGGAAGTTCGGCCGGGGCGTCATCACCGATGAGGGAGGGAGCGGTTTCTAAATCGGCTGCTGCACCACCACCATCTCTTCTTCATGCGTTGAGTGGTGGTCAGTGCAAAACCCGCTCCTAAAGAATCGACTTCGGTGGATTCTTTGTCTCTCCTCCCTTTTGAAGTGTGTGTAGGTCTATCAGCTGACCTGACCACTAACTTTTCTATTGTAACTATTGAAAAGAGAGACGGGTCTCTGATGGATTCGATGCATCGATTGCTCTCATTAGAATTTTTGTTAATATGAGGGATCCGAAAGAACTGGAGTGCAAAGTGGAGGAGGAGATAGGAAGAAAATAAATATTTTTGATTTTTCTGTTGCCCAAGTGTGTGGGCGGAGCGGCAGCTGATGCGCCGTCGACCGAGTCGGTCGGAGGGGGCCGATCGATGCAAAACAGTGACACCCGTGAGCAGCGGGCGGATGGTTGCCTGATCAACGACTCTGCTTTCTGAGGCTTCCCATGCAGCGATTACCTCGTTCTTGCACTTGACACTCCTCTCTCGTTACTCGGGTTTCGGAGTAGTGAGAGAGGTCTTTAAACCGCCTTTGCGACTCTGCTTGTATTATTGAAGCATGCAGCTTCCCACTGTAAACTTCCTGCCCCTCTTTGTCACCCCCCGCTTCCCTAGTGTCCTTCACCAGAGAAAGGATTAGGTTAACTAGCTTGAATACACGACCAGTGTCACGGCTTTCGGTCGGCAGATATTTCTGCGGGGTCTAGTGTGGGTCTCACGCATGCGAAGTGGCCAGGGATGCCTGAGCTTGGATTATTTCATGGCTACCTTCACCGCCATGAAGACAAGGAGGCGATTACGAGTAGCAACAAAAGAAAGGCGGAAGTGGGAGCGGTATGTGCATTTTGATAGTGTCTGGTGAGACACCAACAACTCGCAGCCATTCTTGAGCAAATTTGGCATTCTCTAATCCGCACATATTAGCATCAAACAGCGACGTAGCCTGTAAGTCATCAGCACCAGCGGTGACCCTCTCACTGTGTCCATCAGCTAAACCTAAACAACTGTCAGTGGCGTTGTCTCTACACCTGATATAGGAAATGGGACATTGGATTGTTAAAGAAATCGCAATCCAGTAATTCAGAGATATTTGGAATGAGGCAACTGGCACGTGTGCCAGTACTGAAAGGGAATGCGAATTTGAATGACAGCGACTTTTGCAAACCACTGTTACGGATGTAAGGAGAGTTGTTACTGTTATCAGTGGCATGGGCCAATCCAGACGCTACTCATCAGGGTGGAAAACAACAATTGGGGGTACTGTGTGCATACGGAGAAGAGCGTGTGACGGTGAATGAAGGTCTACAGCCCGCAAGCGTTTGGCCATGCGGAGCATACAAATATATTGTTATGCTTGACAGACGCAGTCAGTTGTGGCGTCAGAGGTAGAACAGAGTTGAAATTCCCTGTATGTCGTTGTTAGATTGGTTGCAAAAGGCAGTCGAATAAAATCATGCACACAGTGGTAGAAATAAGAATCAGATTAGCATTGCTTCTTTTGGTGGAGCAAAGATTACAAAGTAGTGGTCGCAGTTGTAAATGCAAAAGCAGGGTGTTAACTTCAGTCTGCGAAATTTCGTCTGTTATAATGCAGGTTATCAGGTGAATATATGCAGACTTGGCCAGTTAAATTTGTAAATTGCAGCTGATATGTGAAGTGTTATTCTTGAGATGCTACTTAGTGGGATCAGAATAGTTGGCAGCTGAGCATTTTAGGGGCTAGCAACCATAATTTTGTAACTCTAAAACGAAACAAAATTTGTTACTTACCCGATTAGCAAAATTTTTCTGCAAACACCCTTGTAAAGTATTTTTTGTGCATTGGGAAGCCAAGCAGTTTCTATGGGCTAATGGCAGAGACTGCAGGAGGGCGTTTTATTCCCGTGTGTTGCTCATCATGTAGGTGCATAATTTCTCAATGGTAGCTGAAATATGC